TTGTATACCGTCCGGTCATCTTTTACTCTATTTCCTATGGTTTATAATATTAGTTAAAGAATTTTTCAGTCAGTCAGTCAGTTACAACGTAGGACCAGGCACATACATGCATCTGTCCAAGTTGCCACACATCATTAGCACAACAACATGAACATCAAATTCATAAAACCAGTTACTTCATTGGTATTAATATTATAAAACAAAGATTGTGTATAAGGATATAATACAGGAAGATATAAGGTAATTTTATTCACTTAGTTTAAAGGAAGACAAAGAGTGTGTACACTGACGCCATTGTGATCGATTCCTACCCATGGATCTATTTTATACTCCTTTGTTTTCCTCAACTAATGTCATTTTGTAATAGCAATAATTATATATCTATATTGTTTATGTTAGCTAGATTAAAGAAATGTCCTTGTAATTATTGATTATTTTTACAAATTATTCCCTACTTAGGATTTTTCTCTCTCTCCTAAATTATTCTTTTTTTTTGTTTTATTATTGTTATACTACTTATTGTTTACTGTAATGATGTTGTTTCGATTTGTTCAACTCGCCTGTGTGTGTGTTTCTATGTTTCTACTCTATAAAAAACAAAAAAACAAAACAAGATAAAGTTAGGTAATTAATTTTTGTTCAAAAACTAGGTTAATGCAATTAATGATTAAAATGCTATACATCATTAGTTATATTGAAAAGTATTTATTATTTATTTATTTAAACACATATATATTGGTACAAAAAGGCACCAGGTACATATGCGCCACACATTTTTTTCGCTGATTGAAAAGTATAGGTTATATTGAATAAGCAAAATACCACAAACATACAGGATATTGGTCATTATTTTATAGTTAATTAGTTGTAACGGCATCTTAATTCAGAGGTCAGTCATGCCATATATATCTCAGTAATAAAGTCTTTAGATATGAAGCTTGATAGTGTAAAATCAAATCAGGTAGCGAGTATGAGCTCTGTAAATATTATAAGTACATCTTTTTGATGAGTTCCAGATATCACAAAACCTAACTTCAGCGTTTCCTGTCGACTATCTTCAACCACCATCTTACATTTCAACATAGCACACTCTTTGTTGGATCACTAATGTAAAATTACAAACACTTACTAGTGATTTTCGTTGTTTACCAGTCGAACCAATATGGCCAGGGAATGGAACATAAATTTATTTTTGAGGAACACTAGATGCATTCGAGTCCAGCAATATCAAGATCACAATAGAATTTGAATAGAATATATTTTTGTGTCATTTATTAGTTGCATAATCGATTCATATTTCAAAGTAAATTACTATGAAGAAATAATATTTACATGTCTATGACCTAAAGGATTTGTTCCTCACTCTGTCAGTGTGTAAACAAGGGGATCGCACAAAGCGCCTAGCTTCCGGAAAAAAATTAATTTAGAATAAAGCCAAGTCAAAACCGAGGCATATATATCAACACCGTTGGAAATGAACCAGAGAAACACTAACTTCAACGTGTCAGGAGGTTCTGAGCCGCAAGAATCATCACGAGGAATGGATCTCCATCGAAACCCTGGGTGATATTCAGGAAGAGAATGTAAGAATACATCAATTAAAATCAACCGAACAAGAGCAGAGAAAGTCAAGGCACAAACTCAATACACAGATACAAGCAAGCGAGTGAAGAACGCTAGAGCTGACAAGCGGGAATACGTGGATGACCTATCAACGACAGCTAAAAACGGATCAAGACAAGGAAATCCAGGACAACTTTATGACCAAGAAACTGACAGTGAAATATAGTAAACCAGAGAAACCGGTCAAGGACAAAGAAGGCACGCCAATCACTGAGATTCAAGAACAGAAGAACAGATAGGTAGAGCACTTTGAAGAACTTGTAGTGGATGTCGAGTCGAGGACGAACTATGATCACCACTACTATTCGATTACGCGCCCACAAACGACTTGGTTCCTTTGATAGCTCATAAATCAGAAGGCTTTATTAATCCAGATCAAGTATATTTATTGGCAATCTCGTGGTATCGAAATAATACCGAGACGTGTCAAAGAGTACAGGCAAAATGAGCAGTGCGTGATCAAGTTCGAACCAAACAAGGCGGATAGCGAAACAAGAAGTGAAACTGATACCGTTAAACAAATACAGTAAAACAATCTCTGGTACAATTGGTTACAATAATAATAATTGTTTCCGTTATTCCAATGGTGTTCTTATCGAGACTGGCCGGTCACTACAAACTCTTGAATAATCAAGCTCCGTTGAATTCACCGGAGAACAAAGCAACACACACAGGCCCTCATATAGATTTCACTCCACCAACGATACAAGAAGTCGAGATAATCAGACAAATGAACAGTGGAAAAGCAGTAGGACTTGACGATATATCAGCTGAAGCACTGAACTCAGACATAAAGTAACTGCAATTATGCTCCACATTCTATTCAAAAAGAGTTTAGGGGAACAACAAGTGCCGATTGACTGGAAGTAAGGATGCCTCATCAAGATACCAAAGGAAGATCTCAGCAAGAGTGAGAAAATGCACTATTATCAGTGCCCGGAAAACTTTTCAACAGTATTGTTGAACTGAACGAAGTTAAGGACAGTTTGGATGCAACTAGTCAGTTTGGAATTTCAGTATAAGATTGTGAAGATTGTTACGTTTTTAATTGAGATCATGAACTGATCGATGTTAGCCCACCATTAAAAACCTGGAAGAACCAGAGAGCCGTTTCAACCTAGTGCGGGACTCTTCTATCACATACACACGAACAAATGCAGAAGACAACTAGTGTCGCAGCAGTTTCTGCAGCGGTAGGCCTCAACGTTAACAAGGGAAAACGCATGATCCTCAAATACAACACGAAGAACACCAACGTAATCACACTGGATAGTGAAACTCTGGAAGAATTGGAAAGTTTCACTTACCTGAGAAGCGTCATCGACGAACGAGGACGATCTGGTGCAGACATAAAGGCAAAGATTGTCAAAGTAAGCGCCGCATTCCTACATTTAAAGAACATATAGAACTTAAAACAACTGCCAGATAACAACAAAACCAGAATTTTAAGTACAAACGTCAAGACAGTTCTACTGTACGGAGCTGAAACTTCGAAAACTGCATCAACCATAATGAAAAGAGTACAAGCCTTCATAAACAGTCTTCTACACAAGATACTGAATATCGGTTGACCGGATACCATCAGCTAAAGCCTACCGTAGGAGAGAACAAATAAGCTCTCATCTCAAGAGAAGATTAGGGGAAGATGTTGTAGGTGGATAGGACATTCGGTTTTTTAGAAATCATGTTCTCTTTGTGCAGGTGAAGTAGTTTAGTGTAGATCTTTTCTAACACCATTCATCAGAGAAACAGTCATCATCAGTGGTATAAAATGATGATTACACTATTTCCGCATTTATGACATTTTTAGATGAAATGAGAAGTTTCTAAATGTCAGAAGTCATTCTTCGAATTCGAAGTCAAAAATACTGAACTGGAGGATTTGATTCATAGGGATGATAAATGTACTGCTTGCCTGTTAGATTTAACACTCCTTTCTATACCACTCTCTCTTTTTTTTAATTAATGTTTTATCAATTTTAATATCCTACATTTTTGGCCCATAGTTAATGCTTATCTTATCAAGATTTCTCGGCGTAATCCCATACAGTAATTATACTACGACTTACATAAGTAATACCGTATGAACTGCTTACTAATATTTATATGATCCAGCTATTTTGCTAAAGCCATTATTTTTCCATGAATCACTTTTAGATGAGATAAAAAGTACTAGGCTGTTATTAAGTTCATATTTTCAAATAGTTAACATTGATATATAACATTATCACGTTTATCTTGACATTCCACTGGTATTATTTCATTATAAAGTTGTACAATATTGTTTCTTGAAGCAGTTTCTCTTATTGTTAGAACATTATCATACGTTTTTTTGAAATCCGTAAGCCAATGATCGGTTGTCAACATTCTGTTTTGAAACATAGTCTCAAAAGGTATTTCCTAGAGTTCTAGTGGGAAGCAGTGACCAGTAGAGTTCAACCGGGTCCGTTGCGAGATAGTAACTCACAATGGTCGACGGTTGCTTAATTTCATGGATACGTTGAAGTCAGACATTAATACCGTTGGATTCTAGAAGTTAGGCGCTCGCGAGCGAGACCGGTAGGTCCTGGTTTCGAATCTCGTGAGGCTTGATCGTGGATTTGCACTGCTAAGGAGTCCCACAATAGGATTAGACAGCCTTCCAGTGCTTCCAGGTTTTCCATGGTAGTCTAGCTTCAATCGGCTCATTATTTCAAACGCAAAGTGTACTGTAATCTTTAAGTAGCATTCCAAATCTTGGCTTGTTCTCTATAATTTAATCTTACCATTTATTTATGAGAACAAAATAGCTGTTTAGTGCTTCATTATTTCACTTGCACTACAAGTAAGATCGAACTGTGAGAAATATCGTCTATCCTCTCTATTTTTTATTTTGTTAGTATGCAATATGGCTACATTAAACTGATTTTCATTTCGATTAGGTCTAACTGTGTTGATAGTTGAAATAATAGCCTAGATGGTTAGTTGATTAAGTAATCCCTAGCATTTTTAAAAATAAACTTTTAACCTAAATCAGGGGGGGTTTGTATATATTATAGTAATTTAATAGTTGAATTCATGAGTCAAATAAAGCTAGACTACCTTGGAAAACCTGGAAGCCCGCGAGCGCTATCAAGGATGCGTAGTGCTGAGGAGGTGAAATGGTTATCCTGTGCTTCCAGGTTTTCTATGGTGGTCTAGCTTGAATTGACTCATGAATTCAACTACTAAATGAGGCCTCTTTCCCTCTTTTAACACATAATATTGGAAATTGACTCTATTCATGAAACATTCTATCTCTTAACATGTAATATTATACATTCATTAAAGAAGTATGTATATGAAGGCATTTTGTTTGATTACATAATTTCCCATGTTTTCTTTTTTTTTTATCTTAGGTACTTCAATCTCTTGTTATTTGTTTTCCTGTTATGGATAAACAATTTACACAATTCTATTGGGATATATTAAATAATCGTTATAAATTACGAAAATCAAAATTAACTCATTTTTCTGGTGTAAAAATCATCAAACCGGGTAATTTTGGTTTCCGTCTTTTTGCATTAACTTATAAGGGTAACCTTCAAAAGTCTCCTATTTTTTGATCAAATAGAAGTATGCTTCTATTGTAGGATTTCAAAATGATGGATATTTACACTTCGGTCGGTGTTCATAATAGCTTTGCGCTTACCTACCTAGATACATCAAGTGTAGATTTTTCATTATTATTCTGAACAACGTCATTAACATCTACTTTAGAAAAACAACTAAACCAAAATGTAACTTTAAATACATTTGGTTGACTTGAACTGACAAAATAATATCAAAATCAAAGTAAATGATAATAGGAAGTAGTTAAATTAACAAAAGACATTTTAAACCATTGGTCAATGTAATAAAATGTTTTGTACTACAGATTTCTAATCATTTCGCCATGTGGTTTGAATGATCTAAATGAACAATTTACTGTGTTATTCGATCAACTAGCATTTCTTGATTCCACGTTTACCTGACTACTATTGAATATAACGAGTTATATATTTACTAAATGATAATAATGCTCAATCAAAGGCTAGATGTAACCAGATAGTCGCCTGAAAGGCCTGCGAGGCTTAGCTTTCGTGTCAGCTGTTATTCGTCTGCAAGTCTTACTTGTAATTTTAAAAAATTAATGCTCAGTATTCCTATGGATTGATTAGACGTAAATTACGAAGAGTATCGATTGTATCGCCCCCAAATGCCCTGGTACGGCCGAGAGTGGGGAGAGTCACCTCTCCCTCTTGAAATGCTCTCACATGGCCACGAATATATAGCCTCTGCCAGGGAAGTCCTACTCACTGCCTTCTCGTGGCGGGGGTGTTGTTTACGAAATTGAGAGGACGAAAAGCGAATGTCCGGCGCTTTAACCGGGTTGGTGGACATGGAAAGTTCACCTAGGGGAGTTGGAAAACCCTGATTCCAAACCAATGGTGCACATGGGCTCCAGTATCCTGAGAGAACAAATGGCGTACGAATCAACCGTTGATCACCGGCTACCATGGGACTGCATCTCCTCACGATGATCCGCTGCCTTGTGGATCAGACATTCAGGTCAAAGGCTCAGGGTGTGGCCCCCTAAGAAAACCACCTGCTTCAGTCTGGCCACCTGGGCAGTATCACAGCCCTCACACAAATCGAATGAGATTTGTGAGGCGCATATGTATCTGGTGCTTCCTCGTACCAATATTTATGTGTTTAAATAAATAAATAATCGATTGTATCTGCTGCCAACGGGTGTATTATTAGTACAGTTCATTCAGTTGTTCCATTTCAAAAACGTCATAACTTTTCTTGATAGAGGGGGTTTTCTGTGGAGATTTTAAGTAATTTTTATATATACTTGAAATCATAAGTCAATTGAAGCTAGACCACCGTAGAAAACCTGGAAGCACTGGACGGCCGTTTCGTCCTATAGTGGGACTCCTCAGCAGTGCGCATTCACTGAAGACATTGGTGACATGGTTACTCAACTTCGTGGATTGATCGAAGTTAAACACCGTTGGATGCATGCCCAATGGTCTATCGGTCAAGTTTTCTTGATAGAGTTAAATATATCTCATAATTTGTTCCGGAAGCGTTTAAGCAACTGCCTTCGGTTTTACTAAGGGATTATATATTTTTAAAATACCTCTATAGATTAAAAATCTTAATCATAGACTCTAATAATGAAAGTTTTAATTTTTTTAACTATTTGTCATTAACGAGTTACGTTATGTGATAACTGTTGTAATTAACTCTTCTCTATTCAAGGTGGTACTATACGTTCAGAATCTTGTTCATTTATGCTTTATTCTAAATCAACTTATTCAACTCGTATAATAAATGCTGCAGGACGCCTTTTCTGTTTAAAGAATTCTAATTCCACTAATGTCACCGGTAATAATAATATTAATGAAGTACAAACAGCACCAACATCAGTTATATCATCGGCTAAACATTTTTGTTTTCCATCAAAAGATTCAACTCGTCAGCTAGAAAAGTCAAAACAATATTTATCAATACATCGTGAAGCATCTATAGAGTCATCGTTTTATCAAAATATCAATGAGACTAATAATCAAATCAAACAGACAGAAATAATCGTTGATCAGCCTGTTGATGAACCACTCGTAACGTTTACTGATGTAAGTTGACTTTTTTTGACTTAAGGTACAAATGTACAAAATTCCACTACATAGAATATCTTTCCACTGGTATTAGCTTTCGGCATAGAAGTCAGCTGATAGAGATTTATTTATTCTTAAGCTAAGATAATACTGTCAATCCATGGATGGATTGTAGTGGCTGGTACTATGTCAAGTTCATAAAGGTTATTCTAGCTTCTGGACAGATCATTCTATTTATTCTTCACAAGCCAAATTTTGACCTAATCACTTATTTGCTTGTTAACCCTGACTGTTTTTATATGATCGTATATGTGTTAATTACTTACTCAATTTATTATGGGTCTGTAATTTATTTTTGTCTTAATATAAATATTAAGTTACTCTTGATTCAATCGAGTTGACTCATTCACCTTCTACACTGCATATCAGTTTGCTTTACTTTGCTCTCTCCTCTTCGCTTCCTTCACTTCGTTTCCCAGATTGTCTGCCCAGATTAACGCGTAAACAGAACATACATATTCAAACTTCATTCCCATTTTTGACTTATTCCGTTATTCTGTAATGTGAATTTGGTCTATCATTATATACGATGGTAGCTAGGATGTATATTACTATAGCAACCATCAATACAATCCAATTGAAGTCAGATTCAGAGCTACTAAAAGATTTTAGTTTAAACGATGTTGATAAATGTGGACTATCTGGTTGAGATTTGAACAATAGTCATAACTGTTGACAGTGGTCGTTTGTGGTCAGTGTTTGTTTTCTTTTTTAATTACGATTTTTAATGTTAATCTTTTTTTCCCATCAATGGATTCTCTCTTTCATACTTACTACATTAACTACAACTTCTCAGTTTTATTCATCTTACTTATTTCATTTTGTTAATGTCATATGGTATGAACAACTAAGTCGATTGGCATTCAAGTTCGATTGAACGTTGGTCATGGGTAGTTTAAAAAAATCTCAATTCTAATATTTTGTTTCTACAAAAGTAAATTTATAAAATAAAGAACTAATTCGGGTATACCGAGGTTCTAGATAATGATGAATTTTTAGTTGTCAATTATGACCTAAATTTAATTATACAACTACTGAAAATCAGAGAGTACTGAACACATTCATCTTTGTCTTGAACTTCATGGTGGTATACATCTATAATGTCATCAGAATTCAAACTGGGGACTTCAATACTTTGGAATGAAATATCAAAATCGTCAGAAGTTTGGAGGTGATACTTTACTCAAGTTGATATCAATCCAAGTGTGTGAAGGTTAAGAAACAACCGAACGTTATAAGGACCATTTGTTCAATTCTTACTCTTCTCATAAATACGCACCACTAAAGAGTCTCTTACTAAGATGAAACAGCAGTTCTGCCCGTAATTTTTTTCAATGGTTGTCATTAATATCAATAATTAATAGCAATAATAATAAAATAGGATCAGTTCGTAATGTAAACTAGAACATTCGTCAGTATTCACAATATTCCACATTAAACAATTATCATGTGTTTACTAGACACTAACTTCAGTAGGTAATTCCTGGAACTTTATTTAGAAGCTGTTATTATGAAAGTCTAGCCATGAAGAACATGAGATATGTATCATAGACAGACGATAGCAGCACAATAACATGAACGGATTGAAATGAGCAGTGATCTGAAGGTAATATCCAACAGTCTATCTTTAATAAACATAATTCAAATTTCAAATAATAAATGGATAAAGCTTCTACGGTTTTAAAAATGTCACTGCGTGAACCTCTTGGAATTTTCAAATGAGTTTTGTAACTGACATTAAAGGGTGGATCTGAGGCGGAATTTCCTGAATGTAATACACCTTGCAGAATAGAAGACATAAATGATCTATGCTTTTTGTTATGTATTGCCAAAAGATTTGAATTCTTAGGATTTCTATCTATTCGTTGTTTATGGTAAGGATTCCAACTGCCGAATCTCTTTTGTTGAGTATGCACTATGAAGAGATTGCCTTGATATTACCATATATTCTGAAGTGCTTATTAAAGATGGATTGAGGCTAGAAGTGAGATTCATTTTCTATGGAACTCAGTAGCTGGATATACCTGTTTACCAATGTTATAATATTTTGTGATATAATGTGATGGTATGCTCTCTAATTCAGTCACTTAGAACTTTACTAACAGCTGGCCAACACAATCACATGCCAAATCAACACCAAGATAGTATTCTCAAAAGTTCAATGATAATACTTACAAAATTCATGGCTAAATGACCTAACTGGTTGAGAAAACAACATATAAGCTGTAACCTTGATCAAATGAATAAACCTTTTACAATAACTTGCCCACTTAACCAAACTCTCTAAAAATAGATGAGTAACACATTACTTGATCTTATGTTATTTTTGACCGAATAGATTTTGTTTATTCATAAATGGCTAGTTTGATTCAAATAGCTACTATTTTATCATTAACTTAAGTCTTACATACTAATGCATAACTCTAATCACCCACAAAGAAGACTAACCTAAAACATTCTTATTCAAAAATCTTCATGATGTTACTATTGTAGTGAACACGACACGAGTGGGGGACAATCGAATGTATTTAAGCACAATTCACAGACTATCTCACTAAATTCTGATAACCATACAGCAAATAGTTAATTTGCAAAATAACAATCAATTGTCTCAATCTTGGCTGTTCCTCCTTCATCTTCTCTAATTTCATTGTTTATGCATTTTCCTACCAATAGTGCTTCATTTTAGTTCTTTCCTTATCGGTCTTCTGCCAAAAATACATTCTATGTCTGACCATCACCATATACTACTTATGAAGATATAAGTAGACCACACTACACTATAACTTAAGATTGGCAAGCAGAGATGGATAGCGGCTAGCAGTGGAATCCAGTTTGACGCGCGTTTCATCTTATTTGGGACTCGTCAGCCGTATGTACCTGCATATCAGAGTTGATGTTCACTCTGGGACTCGAACCCAGTACCCTCGCTTCAAACGTCATCGCGTTATGAATGAATTTATAACTTAAGATTATTTAAATGAAATATCTCCTTCATATAAATGTGTTTAATTGTTTACAGAATAGTGATAGTTTTCTTTTTTTTCTTTTTTTAAACAAATTTAGGCACCAGAAGACAAACAAGCAAAGATGAAAGATGTTAAATTTTCATTATACTCTAAAGTTGATGTACATGATGAATTAAATAAACTTTTAACTAATGAATTCAATACAAATTTACATTCGAATAATAATAATAATATCAAATTACGACGTAATCATAGCCGTTATCATTCATTACGTCGACGTCAAATGGAAAATTTAACAAAACGTGCTGAATGGTTTTTAAAACCTACGATCCTACCTAAATTAACTTTAACATTAGATCAATTCAAAGATATCACACAAACCAATTCATTATACGATAATCATCCTAATTTACAAACAACCATGTCTACTATATCATTATTAAATATACATAATGATAATAATAATAATAAGATGCCAACTAACAGTAATCTGTTGAATAATCCAAGTATCATACAAATGATGAAGCCAAGAATCTTATTTACATCATCAACGAATGATTTAATTCAATCTAACTATACTAATCAATTAGATACGGTATGTTTATCAACATGTAATACATCATTATTACATAATCGAAAATTGAAACAATCAAATTTATGTTCATCCTTATTATTACCACCAAATTATGGTCATAGTTATAGTAGTTTATTAAATGATAATGGATCATCTAATTCTTATGTTATCCCTTCGAATTTATTAACAGAAGAAGAAGGAGATGAAGATGATGAAGATGAAGAAGAAGGAAATAGTAATTCAATGAATCCTATGATATATTATCGTATGACTAAACATTCATTACCATATGATTATAATGATATCAATAGACATTTAAAATTTAATTGTCCTGATCGTTTACAATCAACTAGTTATGATAATTTTCATACATTTTCATATCCACCAATTATTATAAATGAAAATAATTGTGATATCACTCCCACGAGTGTTTCTATATGTAGTACTAATCATACAAATACAACTACTCTATCATTAAGTGTTAAAAATGATCTATTTAATACGAAATTAACATCATCTACTACCTCAGGTTTAGGGCTCATTTCCAAATCAGATGTACGTTATTCTGATTGGTCAATTGATCAACCAATTAGAAGTGAACTTTTAAGTCGTCGGAATAGTGCTACATTACAATCATCTAAAATATTACCATCATAAAGTTAATTTTAATCAAGAAATGAAATGAAGCATAAATTTTAAGGAAAAAAGAAAACAGCTAAAATTTCATTTATTTATTTATTATCTTTGCTCATTGCTTCAATACTTATATCATTTTGTACACAGATATATATTCAATGTTGTTCGTCCTAGTCAATGTTTTATTAGTACAAACTGTCTTTCTCTTTCTCTTGTTTAACTTTGTAGATTTTATTTACAAATCTAACATATGCTTTACGATCCTTCAATACTACTCATTTGTATATATATATATATATATATATATATATATATATATATATATATATCAGTGACAATTGCAGGGAGATGCAAACTATTCATTACATCACATACACTTTGTGCTAAAGTCATACAAGCTTATGATATTAGTTTGTGGTTTGTTCACTAAGTTGAACAACAAATAAATAACAAACAAACATTTCTGGCATTTACTTCGAATGATTATTTTTTTTTTTATTTACTTATTTGTAATTTTACTAATTTCAAGTGTTTTTTTAAAGAATTTCATTGACAAAAAGACGATCATTGAAAATCTTGAAGGAAAACATATTTGCGTTCACACACACATACACACTTACTGATAAACAGTTAAGGAATGCATTTTTCGAGTTTTTCTTGAATCATATAAATATGATCCATAGAAAAAAAAACTGTTTGTACATTCTGTGCAGATAATTGTCATAGTGATTTTCGTTTCTTTTTCCCCCTTTCCTAATAATTATGAATGAGTCATAGGTGTGTGTGTATATATATGTATATATGTGTGTGAGTGTGTGAGTATACATTTCTGTGAATGTAATTGTTTAATCATCTTTTTTTGCTTATATGTTCCTTTTTGAAAAACAAATGATTACGTCATTACATTGCAAATTGTTTACTTTTTAATTTTGTTTTACTAAGTGTTTTTTTGTTAAGGGGTATTTTTTTTAAAAAATTTTTATTCAATTGTCAATAATTTTATTTTATGCTAATTTTTTAAAAAAAAAGAAAACTTACGATTGATCTGTAATAAGAACAAAACATGCTGTGTGTGTGTTTTCATGCAGGAAAAAAAAACATTTTTTTCTAAACTTAAGTTCATACTATTCACTGTCAAATTATATTCATAATTATTTCCCCTTATTTGTTTATGTAATAAATAATAAAAAAGTAAGGAAAAGTACGTATGGCTACTTAAATCATTTGTATTCATTGACTAGTCTTTCTCAATTTCTGTTAGAGGCAAGATGGCCATTATCATTTCCTGATTGAATATATTGTGGTAAGATATTTTTCTTCTTAAGCTATTGGGATAATTAACTGGATTGATAGTGATCTTGACAACATAAAAGCGTAACCGGAGAGCTTAAATAACATCAACTTACTACCGGCAATACACCCTTTTCACGTCAGTAATTTTACATACAAAAGCTCCATACTTTCAATGATGTGTCATGAGAGTTGAAATTCTGCTAATAACGTGACGTGTAGCAACTTTAAGGCTGATCACATATGACCCTTCCTTTTGCTATGAGAAAATAGCATGACTTCAAATACTGATTGTTTGTAGGTAATATCTTACTGCCGTTATACCTCAGTATAGTTGGTAGTACCGTTTACCGTCAGACTATAAGTTTTATACTCAACTTATAATGTAGTAGGAAATAAAGGAACAGCTTTTCAAAACAGGTTGTTTCATTTCGATCTACACGAAATGCTCTCAACTTCTCTGAAATGTCACTTGTTTTAGTACTTTGTTAGTTTGGCTTTATGGACCGAATCCTCACTACTTGCTCAAAAAAACTAATCACAAATACTTAACTTATATCGAGTGTGTGCCTGAGTGCCCTGTTTATATATGACGTGACAATGTCGCCAATATGATTGAGCTGTGAATTTATTTATCGGACCAATAATACACGAAAGCCATATGAGCAGTCTAGTGTGCTTGTCGGTCCTGCTATCTGCCTAGCCGAGCCAGTTAATTCCACAACACTATTAACAGCTTCTGTAATATGAATCACTATTCTCAAACATACTGAGTTTATATACCAATCAAATAGACCACATTGTACCATAAAATAGAAAATAACATTTGTACAAGATTTGGGTAAATGTGGCTGTAAATAGGGGGAACAGTAATTAATAAACTGAGTATACCTCAGGAATGGTAAATCGTACAGTAATAGTCTATGGGTCAAAATAAAGTTCATAATAAAAGGAACATGAAAATGGATAGTTAAGTTACTTAGCAATTATACAATAGGAGATATGCATAATATTGGTCCATAAATAGATCCCAAAGTTACCATTCATAATTCTCTTTGGGATATAACATCAACTGTTCTTGATAAGAAAACTGTTGACATTCAAAGGTCCCATTCTTGTTCTTGACTAAAATTTGGTCATTTTGTAATTAAAAATCAAGATCACTGATTATTCAGTGTAACATGACCAAAAGATTTTCAAATGTTTTTTGAGTTAAACTTCTTAATCTTCCAATTAGCTGTAATATGAGTAATAAATATTATTAAATCTGAGAAGTTAGAATTATTCAGTACATCTTCAACTGCATTGGTTAAACGGAATGTGTTATGATTTTGACCTAGACTGTAGCCAGTTGTTATGACTTGATCAAGGTCGTCGCTGATTCGTTATGACCTTACGAATTTAACAAGGACGTAATTCTCGTAAATGATCCACCAATAGAATACGCCTTCTACGACCTTCACACTGTGACAATGACGTTCGATTAATATGAGTAATCTAGCGCCCTTATTGGTCCTTATCCGCCTAACCCGTCCACTTGAGTCCAAAAACACCAATAGCCGCTGCTGTAATGCGAATCGTTTATTTCAAGCATACTTTATCTATATACCAGACAGGCAGACCACACCATAAAATAGAAAATAATATTTGTACAAACCAGGCCAAATGAAGCTGTAAGCGTGGGAGACAATAATCAATAAAACTGAGCATAACGTAGGGACAGTAAATCATATAGTAATAATCAATAGGTCAAAATGAAGCTAGTAATAAGATGAATATAGATATAGATAATCCAGTTACTGAATAGTTATACCATAGGAATATAAATAGATTAATAGTCTGATAAGAGGTCCCGTAAGTTATCAGTACTTACTTTTTCCTAGTATATAACAGAATGTATTATAATTGTCACGATGCCTGAGTGGTGATTAAGGTCATTTATGGCAGGTCCTTTATAGTGCAGATCAAATATTATCGACCTAGTTGCAATGTGTCTACCAGTCTAGGTGACTCGAAATTGTGTGCATTATGCTGAGGTAAGATGCTGGTTAGAGGTAGTCCACAAGAATCGCTGAACCTAAGTTTCATGCTACTTGGTACTCATCAGAAAGGTGTACCTGTAATCTTGAAGGAACTGATGTTCCCTGACGGATTCGATCCCGTGTCACCAAGCTTCACAGTCAGAGACGTTACCACTGAGCTATCCGAGTCTTGATTGACCTCCTGTAGGAACAAGATGTATTTATAAGTGTTTGGTTACCAAGTGGTGATCAATATTATCTTTGTCAGATCAGAGACTAAATAAAAAATTTCCAAAATAACTAAATGTCAGAAATAGAATGGTTGCCAGTGTAATGAACAGAACATGACTGGGAACACTCCAATGTGTTTAAGCAAAAATTACTGACTACCTCACTAAATTTTGATAACCATACATTGAACAGTTCATTTGCAAATTAACAACCCATTGTCTCAATCTTCACTGTTTCTTCTGTTATTCATGTTCATGCATTTTCCTACCAATTGCGCTTTGTTTCAATTCTTTCTTAATCGGTCTTCTGCCAGGATACATTCTATGTCTGACCAACACCATATACTACTTATATGGATATAAGTAGACTACACCACACTAGGACACAAAAAACGTCTTGGATTTTCAAAATAGTTATTCATAAAAAAGTATACATCAACCTATAGATTAAGGGTAAACAAAATCTTCCAATTTTCTGATGAAGTATTCAAAGTAGAAATTTAATTTGAATAGAGAAAATAAATCGTCCAGAAGTCCTCTTTTCTCTGTGAACAATATAAGTGTCATTTGTTTGAATTATCCATTTCAATAATTTCTTAAATTGACATTACATTTGCAAATCCACAAATGAAAAATGCCGACCAGAAGGGGTTTTGTGGAGATTTCAGTATTTTTCAAAGTTGAAATCAGTGCTTCCAGGTTTTCCATGGTGGTCTAGCTTCAATTGACTCATGATTTCAACTTTGAAAAATGCTAAAACTAAAGGATGTACAATTATTATGACTTGTAAATTGATTTGATTAACAACACCTAATCAGTTAATCTGTGTAAAAGTGTATGTCCATATTAGCAGCCTGATTTCCAAAATTTTGAACTAGACTACTTACTAATTATGCTTATCTATAGATAACTTGAACAACCTCAAAACTAACATACTATCAAGTTATCATGGGTAGATAAATAATCGAATGATTTACAAAATAGCCCACAAATACTTAAGTCTTATTTACCATGTGATCTTGGAAGATCCAATTTAGTTTTATCCACCATGTCAGAAATATTGTTAAATATTTTGTACTGAACACAAAAGTTGTTTCTCTAAACAAATAAATTTAGGTTGATTCAAATTGAAAAAAATTGATTACATCCTTAATATCAAACACATCCAAGTATAACCGTCTGACGACTCCCCAATTAGTCGAAATTCGCATCTTGAATTCTACTGCTAGCCAATATTCATCTTTGTTTACTGATAGTAGTTAATTTTAAAAAATTTATTTCAAAGATTTCGTTTACTTTGAGGCTAATCATTTTGCTAATCTGAATTCCACTAGCAGAATCGTGGATGCGAACTGCAGAAAAGTCCCACAATAGAACGAAACGGCTGTATAAATCAATCGTGTACTGACCAAATCACAACACTAAGGATCATTGCAAAAACAATCAGTTGAATGTAACTCACCACCCTGCAGCAACTTCATTGACTACGAGACAGCACTTGTTAACATGGATAGGACAATACTATAGAGGCTTCTTCGACACTACTGCGTACCTAAGAAGATAGTCAACATCATACGGAATTCTAATGAAGGATTTAACTGCAAAATCGTGCATGGAGGACAACTCACAGACATGTTCGAAGACTAGACCGGTGTCAGGCAAGGTTGCTTACTCTCACCCTACCTCTTCCCATGGTGATCGAATGGATCATGAGAACGTCAACATTTGTAGGGAAGCACGGGATACAATGTAGAGTTAGAATGCATCTGGACGATCTAGCCTTCGAAGATGAGCTGTCTTTTCTATCGAACATGCAACAACAAATGAAGGAGACGATCAGTGTAGCGCCAACCTAGGCAGCATTAGGTCTCAACATAAACAAAGGGAAAGCAAGACTCTCCCGTACAACACAACATGCACCAATCAAATCTCACTTGGCGGACAAGCTTTGGAGCATGTAAAAACCTTTACATATTTGGGCAGCATCACTGATGAGCACGGTGGATCTGATACAGATGTGAATGTGCGGATCGGTAAAGCAAAAGCAATATATCTACGATTAAAAATCTGTCAACAAACACCTAAGTAAGAATTTTCATTACAAATGTCAATACAGTTCTACTGTATTGGGCGGAAACTTCGAGAAATACGAAAGCTATCATCCAGCAGATGCTAGTGTTCATTAACTTTTGTCTACGCAAAATACTTCAGATCCCTTGGCTAGACACTATCAGCAACAATCTACTATGGGAGAGAAAACCAGATTTCAGTGGAGGAAGAAATCAGGAAGAATCACTGAATGCACCCAACTGTCTCACAAGGTAAATGCTCACATGGAATCCTCAAAGCCAAAGAAGAAGAAGAAGACAAAAAACACATTACTCCGAGAAATGGAGACAGACATGAGAAGAATGAACAACAATTGGATAGGACTAGAAAGGAAGGATCATGACACAGTGGGTTGGAGAATGTTGGTCGGTGGCCTGTGCTCCATTGAGAGTAACAGGCGTTCGTAAGTAAGCAATTTTATAATGACTATTTTTGTGTAGTTTTATGGGTTTAGATTTCAGTTATTCTCTAGTTGACGTCAGTTTACAAAAGCATTGACTTTTAAAATTTCCAGAAATTGTCCATGGCTATCACTTTACTGTCTTACAGGCGACATTTAAGTGAATAACGTTTCATGTACATAAACAAACAGTTTTAGTGATGAATGAGACATTTACAAATATCATTCTACAACAAAGTGATAATTTTGCTGTGGG